CAGGTTCGATCACACGCCCCTGGCTACACCTAATGGAGACATTCTGATTAGAGATCTGTGTTTTGAGGTGTGTTTCACATTATTTCTACAAAATCGATTTTCAGTACAGTGGCAAGAAATGAAATAGAAATTCTTAATATCTCACAATTTTGTCCCTTATATCTTTACACCTTTTATATCTTTGTATCTTAAAGTTTTTCAGAATAGCTACTTTATTTCTTGCAGTTGCAACATTGTTGCTGCTCATGTTTTACGTCTCTTTACATCACGCAATTGTTTATCAAAATTGCGACGTAACGCAGTTATGATTTTGTTTACCCTATTGCAACTTAGTTTCTTGTAGTGTGATTTCATATCTCATATTTGCATCTTTTTATTATAATTGTGACTTTGTTTCACATAATTGTGTTTTTCATAACTGCGACTTTGTTTCTTTGTGACTTTGTTTTTCATTACTAGAACTTTTTCTCACAGCAATTTTTATCTCACATTTGCAACTTTTTTCTTGTAATTGTGACTTTCACAATATGATTTCATATCCCACATTTAAAAAAGTTTCAAAATTGCAACCTTGTATCTCGAAATTGTGACTTTGTTTTTCATTATTACAGCTTTGTTTCTTGTAGTGTGATTTTTTTTATATATCTCATTTACAACTTTTTCTTTTTTTTCTCGTAATTGCATCTCTATATCTCATAATTGCATCTTTGTTTCTTGCAATTACAACTTTTTTTCCCAATTGTGGACTTGCTTCTCGCATTTGCAACGTTTTTCACAATTGCGATTTTTCTCATAGTTGCGACTTTGAATCTTGTAATTGTGACTTTGTTGCGTATTATTTAAAAATTTTATTTCACAGTAATCTTGTTTACTTTTTAGTCAGGGGTGGAATGTTTGTACAGTTAATGCGTGTGCTCTTCAAAGGTGAAATCTGGAGCCAATGTTTTGGTGTGTGGTCCCAATGGGTGCGGAAAGAGTTCACTTTTCCGGGTTCTTGGAGAGGTGAGCATGTCTGCGATTCTTAGACTGGAATTCTGCCCTTGTTCTTGGTTCCCTGTAAAAATTCTTCCATATTTTCTGCTAAATGTTGGGTTTTCGGACTCTCTCTAGTTATGGCCGCTGTTTGGTGGGAGTTTGACAAAACCAGAGAGGGGGAAGCTCTTCTACGTCCCTCAGGTGAAACTTTAAACAGATTTTTATAGAACAAAACCCACTTTACCGATGGCAGAACATCTGAATGGTCCACAAAAGCTGAATAGCTTGCCTTTTTTTGTCTGTTTTCAGAGGCCTTACATGACCCTCGGCACACTGAGGGATCAGGTGATCTACCCAGACACCCATGAGGACCAAAAGAAGAAAGGCATCTCTGACCAGGTACTATAAACTAGTTTTTAAGATCTGAAATGTTCTAAAAAGTCTGTAACGTGCAGATCACCTATATTTATTTTATAATAATCCCTTATCATTCCATCAACCTGTTTTGTGTGACAGGTGCTGAAGGAATACCTGGATAATGTCCAGTTAGGTCACATTTTGGAAAGAGAGGGGTCGTGGGACATGGTTCAGGACTGGATGGATGTGCTCAGTGGAGGAGAGAAGCAGAGAATGGCGGTAAACAGACATTTTTAACAACCACAAAGAAAGTCCTGTACAGTAATGCAAAGTGACTAACAGTAACTGCAGGGACAATTCTCTGAACAGAAGTCAAAGGCACTGATAAGGGCTATATTGTTGTCGTGTTATCATCCTGATTTTGAACCACTTCACAATTTGTGTTAAAGCCCAGATCTTTGACAGTACCATTACACTACTGCACTTAGACTGAGTCACATCAAGTTGGAATCATCAGAATTACCATAGCTATAAGAAGATTTCCCATCCATGGACTCAGAAAATGTCTGTTTAATTTGTACTTTGTACTTTGTTTGTTTAGCAGTTAGGTGGGAGATGTCAGAGTTTTTCTAACATGTATAAAGAGTTCTTTGGACCTACAATAATACTGGAAATGTTGAAATGATGTTGAAATTCCTAGATGTTTATAGGTTTATAAAATGATGGTTTTTCTCATAGATGGCCAGACTCTTCTACCATAAACCCCAGTTTGCCATCCTGGATGAGTGCACCAGTGCTGTGAGCGTAGACGTAGAGGATTACATCTACAGTCACTGCAGAAAGGTGCCTGAACCTCACAACACACAGATTTTCCCATTGTATTACTGTACATTTTGCTAAAGTTTCTCTGAATGTGTGGTTTATTGTTCTTGTTCGGCAGGTTGGCATCACCCTGTTCACAGTCTCTCACAGAAAGTCCCTGTGGAAGCATCACAAAGTGAGATCAGCGCTGCTTCCCCATCATCAATATTTACCAACATTCGCCGTATGCTTAAGCACAAAATGTCCTTTCTTCTTTTCAGTACTACCTCCATATGGATGGAAGAGGAAACTATGAATTCAAACCCATCACCCCTGAAACTGTGGAGTTCGGCTCTTAGAGGAAAAACAACTGCACTATACTATCAGCAGCCGTAGTGATGGCCCCTAACTGTTCACTTCTTAAAGTGATAGTTCACCCAGAAATGAAAGATCTGTCATCATTTACTCTTTCTTCCGATTAAAGCAAAATAAGGTAACATTTGATGGTAGCCATTGGCTTCCATAGTATGGAAGTCAATGAAGACCATCAACTTAGTTACAAACATTCTTCAAAATATCTTCTCAAATGTTCAGCAAAAGACAGAATCTCGTAAAAGTTTAGAACAACTTGAGGGTGAGAAAGTGATGACCGAATTTTCATTTTTGAGTGAACTGTCCCTTTAAGTAGTCGCCTGCCAACCTAGGGAGTTTGTTTTTAATCATCTATAACCTTTTTGGGATGAAATTGTGTTTAGAGATTTATTAACACTACTTTTGTCCTTAGTGATTGTATATAATTTTGTAATTTAAGCAGTTCAATTTATAAGACATCCGTTAAGTATGCGTGGGTGCATGTACCAAGGAAATACGTCTTGTGTCTGTGCACTAATTTGTTAATAAATGAAATTGATCTGTATAGGGGCACACAAATCTATGGCACTGGACTGAACTGAGCGTTTAATATGCTAGATACACAATAATGATCTAATATTGCCTTTTTCTCATCAGCTAAACATTTCTTTAAGCTACTAAGTGGCCTTTCGTGCTCACTGCAGCGTGGTTGGGTGGTCTGGATGTGTGCGAGTTGTTTTTTGGTGCACTTTACATGGTATGGTCATTTGGACAACCAGGGAGCCTTGTATAACCGTTCGGTGTCTGTAATCGATGAGAAGTTGCCTATGCACTTGTTTACTCCAGCATTGTTGGCATTTCTTGATGTGGAAGGAATCTGGAATGGTTGTTATGTAAGAACTGTAAGAAATATTGTAGCACTTCACACATTAAGCAAATGAACCACTTTGCTGTATGTTTTCATTAAAAAAAGGAGATATTGATACTACGAAGTCTGTTAGTGGTCTTTTTTTATCTTGAAGAAATGGTTATAGATTGTGTTGATGATTTTGTGTGTGTGTGTGAATTCAGTTGGACTGGTTTATCGCACATTATGAAACTGGTTACTTTAGGAAATCTTTAAAAAAAAAGATGAATGTTGATCTTTAACACACATCAAATGTAAGTGAAAGGTCATTTAGATTAGACAATCCCTTGACCTTTCACCCTCCACATGACAATGTATTTTTAATGTGCCTCTAGTCACCTCTAAACACAAACTCAGATGCACTTTTGGTCAAACGTGATTGAGAAAATCCATTTGATATTTTGGATTTACCTGATTCACTGTACTGTGTTTCAAATTACAATCCATCTCATTTTTTTGGTGATGACTATGGTGTCACCATGCAAACAGCACTGCACATGAAGGCTACCAGTCAAAAGTTTGGAAAATTTTATATTTTTTATATGTTTTTGAAATAAATCTCTTATGCTCACCAAGTCTGCATTTATTTGATGAAAAATACAGTAAAAATAGTAACATAGTGAAATCTTAGTACAATGATTGTTTTCTATTTGAATATGTTTTAATGTGATGGCAAAGCTGAATTTTCAGCAGTCATTAATCCAGTCTTCAGTGTCACATGATCCTTCAGAAATCATTCTTTTGACCGGTAGTGTATATAGTACCATCATTTAGTACCATGATATATATCAAAGTAGCATGGTATTACCATCTGATACCATAAATGCACACTGGTACTGCATAAAAGACTGCATTTGATTTGTAGTGTAGACTGCATGACTTGCTATCCAGTGTAAGTTAATGATTTATGAGATCTGCTGGAGTGCTTCCACTGTAAACTCTTAACTAGAGCCGTATAAACCACATATCTGCTTGATAAGGGTTGGCATATTACCAATAGATCACTATACAGAATTTTAAATAAATATGTTACTACAGATCAACTGTGGCTGTCATAGTAACACACAGAAAAACATTTTGAAAAATATGTGTAAAATATTGAATATTATTTCTTTTTTATTTTAAGTTCTAATTAAAATAATATAGAAAATAAAAGATAACTTCATATGATTAATATGACTTTATTATTATTATTATTATTATTATTATGAATTACTCTTGTTTTGTTTGTAACTGATAATAAGATTATTATTCAAAATAATTATAAATTATAATATAATTAAACTTAAAAATATTAAACTATTTTTATTATTATTATTATGAAGCACTTTTGCTTTGGTATAACTATAAGCTCATTAGATAGATCATACGAACATTATATTACAATTATTATAAATTATAATTAAACATTAAATACTATACAATTATTATTTTTTACAATTTTAAATCATGTTTTATATCATTTAATTATATAATTATTGTTAATTATATTTTACACTTTTGTTAGCTGATCATGTTATTACAAAAATTATTATGTTGCAATTAAAACGGATTATAAAATTATTCTAATTAACATCAACAATTAATATTGTAGTATAGTGGTGGTGGTGTATTTCTAATCTCTTTTTTTCTGATAGCCGATAATAACATTCATTTGTTTACTTTGTATCGTTGGCCATCATGTGCTTCATTCTTTCACTCTGGGCTCAAAACAGGAAGCTTGTCATAAACCACATGCCGTTTCCCTTTAGGTGCAGAGAATTGAGTGTTAAGCTGTTTGTGGCTTGTCAGTGTCTTTGTGACTCTCAAACCTGTAACTTCACTTTTACACTGTGACCGTTTGCAGGATCAGATCAGCAGTCTGAAGGCATGATATGGCGTGGCTGGCCTTCCTTCTTATCTCCTGCCTTCAGACGGTCTACACAACATGTCAGGCGAATGAACAAGGTAGAGTATTTCTGATATTATTTTCTTAATGATCTGTATGACTGCAAACGTTAAAATATCAGGAAACAGCCACATGATTACTAGTGCAGACAAACTGGTTCAGTAAGAATTTTTCATGTGATCAAATGTGAAATTGGTTGACTTTGAGTCTGTTGAATGTGCATTGATATAAAATCTATGTCTGCATGTTTTGTTTCTCTTCAGCTTCTCTGAAGTTTGTTGGGATTGGAGACTGGGGTGGACTTCCTATGTACCCCTACTACACGCCGCATGAGTTCGACACGGCCAATGAACTGGGCAGAATCGCTAAGAGCTCAGGTCTGGACTTTGTCCTCAGTCTTGGAGATCATTTCTACTTCAGAGGGGTCAGGGATGTAGATGACACCCGGTTTAAGGTGATCACCAGGTTAAGTCACTTGAGAACTGATTCATCTTCTCCTAAATTTCTTTCTCAAAGGGTTAGTTCACCCAAAAATGAAAATTAGCCTGTATTTTACTCACCCTCAAAGCATCCTAGGTGTATGTGACTTTTTTCTTTCAGACGAATCCAGTCGGAGTTATATTAAAAATTGTCCTGGCCCCTCCAAACCTTTCAATGGGGGTAAGCGGGTGTTGGTTGTCAACAGTTCAGAGCACGTGAAATAAAGTGCGTGCATCCGTAATAAAACGTCCCTCACACGGCTCCGGGGGGTGAATAAAGGCATCCTGTAGTGAATCCATGCATTTTTGTAAGATAAATATCCATATTTCAAATGTAATAAACACTTTTTTACACGGAAGCCGTTCCGGTGGATGATGTAAGATGTCGAGACAAAACAAAAGAAAACGCGTTCACGAATTAGAAGCACAAAATGAAGATTTGCAAAGAAAATTTCGGAGGATTTCGATATAAGCCAAGAGGAGTTTTCCTTTGCTAAAGTAAGGAAACTTTGTTTCCTTTGCTCATGCATTTCTCAGAGGCGTCTGAACGTCTTGACCAGGACAATTTTTAATATAACTCCGACTGGATTTGTCTGAAAGAAGAAAGTCATATACACCTAGGATGCTTTGAGGGTGAGTAAAACACAGGCTAATTTTCATTTTTGGGTGAACTAACCCTTTAAGTGCTTGTGAAATTTGCTCAAAACTTTTTGAGGGATCTGTTATGCAAAAAGTAGGGTTTTCTCAGGTTAACATGTACAGCTAGCAGTACAGCTTCAAAGTTTGATGATGTAACCAGGATCAGACAGGTTAGAGAGCAGACAGTGATAGTGTGCACAGGGTACTTCAGCTCAGTGAACTGTCTTTACACTCTCTGATCATCTGATATATTTAGTGTGACAGATGAATTGGTCCCTCTAGTGGCAGAAGAACAGAATGCAGTAAAGCTTTTGCCTTATTCACAAGTAAAACTGGATTACTCCTCATCAGTCATCACTATTTTTAAAGGGGTCATATGATGTTGCTAAAAAGAACATTATTTTGTGTATTTGGTGTAACGAAATGTGTTTATGCGGTTTAAGGCTCAAAAAACATTATTTTCCACATACTGTACATTATTGTTTCTCCTCTATGCCCCGCCTTTCTGAAACGCGTC